ATCTGCACGTTCGTGTGCTCTGCTCGCCTCGCAACGGTGATCTCGCGCTCTCCTTATTGGTCCGTAAAAGCTCTTTATATATTGACTATTAAGCTCCCACAGGCATAATGTGTGAGGTACTTTTTCTCCTGCTGTCTCTTAGCCTGGCTTATGGAGTCTTTTGCCAAAGAGATTTTTAAAACACTGTTATCCTATTAAATCTGTCAAGATTTTCTTTAAGGTTTCTGGCTTGGTATTGTAAGAGTAGATTAACTTGGTAATTCTTCAAAGTTTTTGGTCTTTAAATGCCTTCTTGTGATAAAATCTTCCAAGGTGATCAACAGACTGAACGGCAAACACTAAATGCTGCTCTGGCTGAAGTGGACTCCCTTCCATCACCCCACCTCCCTCCAGGGGCCCTGGGGGCTTCTCAAGGGAAGAACACAATGTCTTCCAGTTCTGCAGAGCCACACTTAACACAAGACAGCATGAGAAAGCCAGAAATACTTCCCAGGCCCCTTCGAAACACGCCTCTAACAGCTCCAAGGAGCAGTCAGCACAGCACTAGAAAATCTCAGGACACCAAGCTAGAAAGGTATTCCAACTTCTCTTCTCGAAGAGGCTGTGGTGGCCCAAGCACCTCGACCAGCTGAACTTCAGTTCCAGATCACCACGGGCCCAGAAGCAGAGGCACGGAGAGGAACTAGCCTTTGGGACTGGAGATGCAGGGGATAGCAGATGTCCCATTTCACCCTACCCCCAGTTCCTCCAGAGGCAGAGCCCACCTGCAGGGCTGTGCTGACACCTATGTTCTAAGTGCTTAAAACACCAGCCCCAAGCAGGTGCTCATCGGGCGTCAGCTACAGGGCACCTGATGCTACTCACGGCATCATCTCCTTGCCCCAGGAAAGAAACCTTCATCCCCGACAGTAATACAGGGAGTCACGGTGGAGGCAATCTGTGTAGGACCCTGACCTTCCTTCTAGGAAGTGAGTAGGCGTGTCAGGGAGGCCGCAGCAAGGGGGCGTGACCATTTAAGGCTGCAGACACTACAGCCCACAGGCCACCCTGAAATGGGTCCCCGCTCTTCCCACTCACAGAAGCCCCACAGCAGAAACTGACTGTATGAAGAGACCTTACTGACCTTTGTTTAGTGACACTGAAGAATGACTTAAGGTCTATACAAAGGTAGCATCACTTTTGACATGGCACCCCTCATCCCACATGAACCAGAAGGTAAGGTTCCTTCCTCTAACGTCAAGGCAAAAAACCCAGAGCCCACCACACAGCCCAGCATATGCTGACCACCTGAGATCAAATCAAACACCCCCTCCAGATCCATCCTTCCCGGACTCCTTACCCCAGGGCAGACTGGAGGCAGGGCTCAGGCCCAGCTCCACAGCCCCAAGCTTAGGTGGAGACTAGGCCCCTCGGCCCTCCATGTCCTCCGTCCCCAGGTACAGCCATCAGTTCTGGCCTCGGAGGGAACGCCTGGCCACAGCCTGCCCCCCCAGCCGCCTCCCAGCAGCAGCTATTCCCTCGCCCTCTGAGGCTCCTTCGCGCCCTACATCAGGTACTAATACATTACTCATGGCAGCTTCTGAGCTATGAAAGCCCAGCCGTCTTCAAGAGAACAGTATGGACAAATTCTACAGGAGTGAAATGTTTCTTCTGCTCTGGCAATTAAGACAGCACAAAGTCGCCTTTCCTTTGGTGCCACCCCAACATCAAAGGATTGGAATTCAAAGCCATTCACGCTGCATTGAAACCTCACAATGAAGCTGGAGAATGGAAGTCGATTACTGGGCATAAATATGCAGTAGTTAAAGGAAAGAGTTATCAGGAAATCACACTGCAGCAGCCCCACAATGTGTGGAAACTTCCAGCACTGGAGTCCTCCTGGTAAACATCCACAGGGCACCCTTCTCAAGCAGGTCTCTGGCCAGAGAGAGTCCAGATGGGCTGCCTGAGCCACACGTGGCCCGCGTGCCAGGTTGTTCTGCCCATCTCACTACAGCAACAGCCCCCAAAGCCTCTGAGAACATGTCACTTGGGGATTTTTACTTTGCATTGCTACAAAACTGCTGACCACAGAACATTGTCTCTGGTGCAGGGCTCCGAGGCCACATCTGTCCTTGTCCCTAGGCCTTCCAGGCCTATATGCCGTCCAGTCATCTTCCCTCAGTCCCGCCTCTTAGCCCAGGGCTCCCCCGGGGTCAAGCCTGCTGCCAGCTCGCCTTTAGGGAGAAAGAACCCTAAAGAGGGCAGTGTTACATCTGCCTGCTGAGTACAGCGGCTTCTTTTCTAATAGATTACTGCTCTTTTTAGGACGAGATTTGATCTCTAAAATCAGAGCCCAGAACACAGAAAGCTATACAAGTCTTACAATGTGTCGGGGTGTGTTTTTAAGACATGAAAATACTTCCCTCCCACACAAATGTGAGTTCTTCTGGGGAAAGATGCCACGGATCCCAGAGTAGACTATCTGGGAAAGCGCGATCAGTCTTAAAAATAGGTAATTGAAGACAGATTTTAGAATTCACACGAGCTACCTGAAAAAAAATTACATCTCTCATATTTTTGATATCCAAAACTCCTTTCTGATGAAACTTCTAACTGGGTGGCATTTCGCATTTCCAATTATAATAGAGTAATTGTGTTGCCATAGTTACTGCAAAATTCTGCAATAACTTTTGCTGCTTTGTAACTGCTTTAGTGTATATTTGTGTACAAGCAGCTGAGTTTTCTTAACTCTATCTCCCTCCCTTCCTCCCTCCCCCTCCCCAGCCGCCACCGCCACCACCTTCCCAGGCTGGGTCCTGAAACCACCACACCCGCCTTCTTTGGACGGTCCCGAAAATAATGCACAGAATTATCAGAAGCAATTAAAACTCCAGGCAACCACGATCATATTACAAAAGAAAAAGTGAAACCAGGTCAAGGTGCAAACCTGCCAGTATCCCCCTCAGTCCTGCTGGGCTGGCGCTGAGCCAGGGCTGTTTACAGGTTTACTCCCAGGCCTTACTGCTTCGGCGATTTGTGGGAATAAACAGAAATGCCTGAATAGAGAAAAACGGGGCGGCAAAGTGGCTACACAGGCCCTTTCCTCCCTCACCGAGGGCAGGCAGAACTGCTCTCAGCAAGCAATTAGGTAGGTCTCCACAGTCATGCAATTAGGATTTAGTTAAGAAAGTCATTAGTTTTAAAATAACTTAAGTTTAATTTCTGCAACGCTTTATTTGAAAATTGTGTCACAGCAGGTCAATTTACAACATGCAATAAAGAAAACACTCATATCAGCTGCCTCAAGTTATTACAAATTTTTGATGTGCATTAAATGAGTACACAGGGTTCCACCCCCGGCCCTTCCGACTGATACACACGGTCTCCCGCTAGAACAGTGTCAAATAATTCAAAGCTCAATGTAAATACAAGATAATTTGCTTATGATTCTGTGGTGTGTTTTCGCAACGCCGAGAAACGCGGATCCCACCCCCGAGCGGGGCCGGGCCCCATCTCGGCCTGTGGACGCCCCACGGGCTGAGCCGAGGGGGTCCCAGGCAGCCCCCCGCCCTCCCACGAACCCCGGGGGCTCACGGCGGCTACGACACGCGCGGGGCCGCGGACCCCTGCGGGGAGGTTTTTCTGCAAACTCACAGCATTTGACAAAGTTACATAAACGGCGCCCGCCCGGCCCCGGCGCCCGCCCGCCCCCGCCCTCACTCCCGGCGGCCCGGAGCCCACCTGCTTGGGGGGCGCGGGCTCCGCACCGGGCCACGGCGCCGCTGCCGGCCGTGCCCACCCCCGCGCCCCCGCCCCGGCGAGCGAGGCCGCCTCGCGGCGCGGCTGGAAAGGTCCAGAAGGGGCCGGGCGGCCCTGGGGACCGCCGGGTCCCACGGCGCGCGGCCCGCGCTGGCCCCCGCCTCCCACGGCCGCGCGCGGGGCGGGTGTGGACCGGCTGCGTCCACCTGCCGCGGGCTCCGAGGCCTGCGGGCGGCGCGGGGCGCGGGACGGGCGGCGGACAATGGCCCGCGGGCGCCGGGCCGGGGCTGCGCTTACCGCGGCGGGCGGCGGCGGGCGGCTCTAGCCCTGCTCGGGCGCTCCGCGCCGCATCTCCTCAGCCTGCGCCGCCACCCGCCGGCGAGCGGGCTCGGGCTCGGGCGGCGACAGCCGGGACGCGGCCGCAGCGCCGCCGGGGGCCCAGGCTGGGAGGCTGCTCGGGCGGCGGCGGCGGCGGCGGCGCGGGCGGGAGCGCGGGCTCGGGCTCGGGCTCGGGCGGCGGCGGGGACGGTGCTCCGCGGCGGCGGCCCCACAACCTCCCCTCCTCATTCACAAAAAATTGACCCACGTTGAACCATGATGCTTCTCCCCCCTCCAGCGCCGAGCCGGGCGGCAATAGGCCACCCCGCACGCCCGTCAGCCGACCCGGCCCCGCCCCGCCCGCCGGCGGCTCATCAGCTATTGGCTGCGGTAGCCTTGCGTCACCTCCCCTTGCGGGCCCCGCCCCGCCGCCTGGTTTCTAATGAAGAGCTCGTCAATTACGGCTCGGCCCCGCCTCCTGCCCGCCCGCCCCGGGCGCCTGGCCGGCCATCCATTGGTCCTCTGGGGCCTGCGCACAGCCCGTCTGCTCCCACCCCTCGCCCAGGAGCTGCCCAACCGCGGGGCCGGAGGCCCTATGAGCGACAGAGAGGCTCCACCCATGCCCGCCTCCCCGCACACGTCCTGGACCTCATTGGCTCTCGGAGCTGCCAATTCCAGGGGGCGGGCGTACCGAAGGACGCTCCAGGCGCCAGCCACTGGGTGTTTCGCTTTGCGGTTGGGGAAGCGCTGGGACCCGGGGCCAGCAGTGACCGTAAACACTGGCCCTGGCCGTATCGTCCCAATCAGTAGCCCGCATGGCTGTCTAAGGGTCAGCACCGCGTGTCTGCGAGCCTAATTCGCGCTTAGAGAGCACACAATGGGATGCAGGCTGAGGCCGGGAGCCGGCCAGGCCTCGCCGCGACCTCCATCTTAGGTACTGGCAGTAGGTCACGTGGTGCTGCGTGCGCACGGAGGCGCAGGGCGGCCGGGTCACCGAGTGCGCAGGCGCGGCGGGCCTCGCCCTGCCCCGCGGCGGGAACGCGGCCGTGGGGGTGCGGAGCGCAGGCCGGTCAGGCCTACAACGGCGGGTCGTGGGACGCGGCCTTCGCATCCCTGCGCAGACGGAGATAGTCCGGGCCGCCGCCAGGGTCTCCAGTCCCGGGCCGGGCAGACGTGGAGGGGGCGGGAGCGGCGCAGTGGCCGGGTGGGCGTTGTTTTAAGGCGGCGGGGCTTGTGGGGGGGGCTCGTGTTGTTAAAGGTCGGGCCCGGCAGCCCCGCGAGCGCCTTTGGTGGCCACAGCCGAACGGTGTGGGCGGTGGTCTTCAGTGGCCACCTCCTGGCGGTGAAGTTGCCATTTCTTTCCGGCAGGAGTGTGACAACTTTTCATCTTTGGTGCACAAGATGAAACGCGGAACCCCGCGTTCCAGGGAGGAAGCGCCTTTGACAGCTCGCGCCGGTGCGTGGGCCCTGCCTGCGTGGGCCCCGGGACGCTGGGCCTGGCGGAGATGCCCGTCCGCTTCGACTGTAGGCCGTTCCTCCTCGGAGCTGAGCAAGGATCCGTCCTTATGGCATTCTCGACCTGTGATTCTTGGCGGGGGTGGGGGGGTGATATTGTAGTTATGTGGATAGAAATACAGTTAGCAAAATAAAAATGCCAATTTTACATTAAACGTCTCAATAACTCATAATTGGAAAACTTTGGTCATTGTAAGAAATGCTTACTCTGAGATGGCTGAACGCGGAAGGAAAGGAATGGTGAATGACAATTTTAAAACAAGATAGAGCTGAACAGGGGAGCGATTACGGGGTTTTGGAGGCTTAGCTGCTGATGGAAGCGGTGCGCCATCAAATTTTCCTGTAGAATGAAACAGTCTGTAGCTAGCTAACATCTAGATGATAAGATTCAGTGTCATTTGACGGGGTCATCCAAATCAGGCAATCACGAGAAAACACTAAAACCTGCCTGTAAGCCTGTTAAAGTTAATTTTACATGTACGAAGGTGGCTGAGCAAAAAGTCAGGTGGAAGAGTTCTGCGATCTAATCCTTGGCAGGGGCAATTTTAAAAGGTAGATCTCCATGAGAAGGAGTGAGTAGCCGCATTGCTGCACGCCATTTAGACCTCCCATGGAGTCCTGAGAGGCATTCCAGGAGAGTTGGGCACCACACAGACGTGGGGTGGATGGTGCAGGAACCTCACTTGCCATGTCTGGAAAAGAGAAACTTGGCCTGGGTGGCTGTGTCTACCATTTTGTGTCGGAGGGGCTGTCTGAAGGAGACCAGTGCACCCCAGTGCAGAGGAATTCAATACGGCAGAGTTCTGTGCAGTAAAAGCGAACACCCTAGGCTGTGAGCTGTGTGTAAGGAGAACGGTGGAGTGACAACCCGAATGCCTGGGAGCATCCCTCCGGGACTTCACATACAGGCGTTTGACAGAGTCCCAAACTCAAAGTGAAGGAATCTCAACGTTCTCACAGTTGAAAGAAAGAAACCAGCCCCAAAGGCTCAAATTTTAAAGTCTAGGATTGGGAGATCCAGTAGATGGGTAGAAAGAGCTCCTGGATTGGCCGTGATTGGCAGGCTGGCCGATTATAAGATATGCAAAAAACAGTAACTTTCAGATTACTAGTAACGTTCAATCAGTAATTACACAATAGTAGCATTATCGGTATGTGGTGAGCATTGTGCTAAGCACGTAACATGTGTTAGAAAATACAAAAAAAAAAAAATCCCAATTAGCAAAAGAACGTTTTAAGCACCTAAAGGTAAGTTCCAGCAGAACTTCCTGAGAATTGAGAAAACCATTAAATTGTTCATCTGGAAGAATAAAGATTTTGAGAGCAGTGAAAAAGAAGAGTAATGTGGGAGAAACTGTGCTCCCAGAAAATAAAAACGTTATCTGGGCTGCGAAATGAAAGCAATGTGAGACTGGTCCAGATCATTGCAGAATAGTAGAAAGTAAAGAAACAGCCCCAAGCCAATGTGCGGACTCCAGGCTGGTACCCAGACAGTGTGAGTGATCAGCGGGCTCCAGGCTGGTACCCAGACAGTGTGAGCAGCGGGCTCCAGGCTGGTACCCAGACAGTGTGAGTGATCAGCGGGCTCCAGGCTGGTACCCAGACAGTGTGAGTGGTCAGCGGGCTCCAGGCTGGTACCCAGACAGTGTGCGTGATCAGCGGGCTCCAGGCTGGTACCCAGTAAGTGTCCGTGATCAGCGGGCTCCAGGCTGGTACCCAGCCAGTGTGCGTGATCAGCGGGCTCCACGCTGGTACCCAGCCAGTGTGCATGATTACCAGCCAGTGTGCATGATCAGCGGGCTCCAGGCTGGTACCCAGCCAGTGTGCATGATCAGCGGGCTCCAGGCTGGTACCCAGCCAGTGTGAGTGATCAGCGGGCTCCAGGCTGGTACCCAGCCAGTGTGCGTGATCAGCGGGCTCCACGCTGGTACCCAGCCAGTGTGCGTGATTACCAGCCAGTGTGCATGATCAGCGGGCTCCAGGCTGGTACCCAGCCAGTGTGCATGATCAGCGGGCTCCAGGCTGGTACCCAGCCAGTGTGCGTGATCAGCGGGCTCCACGCTGGTACCCAGCCAGTGTGCGTGATCAGCGGGCTCCAGGCTGGTACCCAGCCAGTGTGCGTGATCAGCGGGCTCCAGGCTGGTACCCAGCCAGTGTGCGTGATCAGCGGGCTCCAGGCTGGTACCCAGCCAGTGTGCGTGATGAGCAGACCCCAGGCTAGTACCCAGACAGCGTGCGTGATTACCAGCCAGTGTGCGTGATCAGCGGGCTCCACGCTGGTACCCAGCCAGTGTGCGTGATCAGCGGGCTCCAGGCTGGTACCCAGACAGTGTTCGTGATCAGCGGGCTCCAGGCTGGTACCCAGACAGTGTGAGTGATCAGCGGGCTCCAGGCTGGTACCCAGACAGTGTGCGTGATTACCAGCCAGTGTGCGTGATCAGCGGGCTCCAGGCTGGTACCCAGCCAGTGTGCGTGATCAGCGGGCTCCAGGCTGGTACCCAGCCAGTGTGCGTGATCAGCGGGCTCCAGGCTGGTACCCAGCCAGTGTGGGTGATCAGCGGGCTCCAGGCTGGTACCCAGACAGTGTGCGTGATTACCAGCCAGTGTGCGTGATCAGCGGGTTCCAGGCTGGTACCCAGCCAGTGTGCGTGATCGGCGGGCTCCAGGCTGGTACCCAGCCAGTGTGCGTGATCGGCGGGCTCCAGGCTGGTACCCAGCCAGTGTGCGTGATCGGCGGGCTCCAGGCTGGTACCCAGCCAGTGTGCGTGATCGGCGGGCTCCAGGCTGGTACCCAGCCAGTGTGTGTGATTACCAGCCAGTGTGCGTGATCAGCGGGCTCCAGGCTGGTACCCAGCCAGTGTGCGTGATCAGCGGGCTCCAGGCTGGTACCCAGACAGTGTTCGTGATTACCAGCCAGTGTGCGTGATCAGCGGGTTTCAGGCTGGTACCCAGACAGTGTGCGTGATTACCAGCCAGTGTGCGTGATCAGCGGACTCCAAGCTGGTACCCAGCCAGTGTGCGTGATCAGCGTGCTCCAGGCTGGTACCCAGCCAGTGTGCGTGATCAGCGTGCTCCAGGCTGGTACCCAGACAGTGTGCGTGATCAGCGGGCTCCAGGCTGGTACCCAGACAGTGTGCGTGATTACCAGCCAGTATGCGTGATCAGCGGGCTCCAGGCTGGTACCCAGCCAGTGTGCGTGATCAGCGGGCTCCAAGCTGGTACCCAGCCAGTGTGCGTGATCAGCGTGCTCCAGGCTGGTACCCAGACAGTGTGAGTGATCAGCGGACTCCAGGCTGGTACCCAGACAGTGTGCGTGATTACCAGCCAGTGTGTGTGATCAGCGGGCTCCAGGCTGGTACCCAGCCAGTGTGCGTGATCAGCGGGCTCCAGGCTGGTACCAAGCCAGTGTGCGTGATCAGTGTGCTCCAGCTGTCTGTCCTTAATGGGTGGCTTCGCAGGCTGGTCAGTGCCTATGCCTTACCAACTATCGACTACGTTTCCAACCACCCCCGTAGGGATTTCAGATATAATGAAAGCGGCTTTTCAAATCAGCGAGAATGCAGTATGGTAGGGTACCAGCTAATCATTTGAAGAGAAGACATTAAAGTTGAAATCCTTACTCATCAAATGGAGTAAAGATTTAAGTTTAAAAAAAGTGTTAAGGAAAAACTCAGTGGACATCTCTGTAGGGTTGTGGAATACAAAGAATGCCATCAACAGTCATAAAGGGAAATACTGAGAATTTAGCTATGTTGCAATTAAAACTTAGTGTGCAGTTAGCGGGAAAACGGATAAATCCCAATTGCAAAAACACAAGGGAATATTAGCAATAAAAAAGAATGAACTGTTATAGATGGTTGAATGTCAGAAACATCATGAAAGATGTCAGATACAAAAGGGTTTACAGCGTATGACAGTTAGTAAGAGATTCAGGAGGCAGCCACGTAATCTATGGGGTGGAGATCAGAACGGTTCTCTCCAGGTTGGGAGCAGTGGACATTATACACTTTCTGTCTGGAGTATAGATCACATAGCAGTACATACTTACCCAAACTCATTGAATTTAAGAGCTGTGCCTTCCTCAGGAAGACTTTAATTCAGAAGAAAAAGATCATCGAAGGCAGCGTCTGCCCCAGTTTGGAGGGGAAAGGGAGACCTTGGAGCTTCAGAACACGATAAAATTAAGACAGGTGAGTGGGGAAAGCATCTGCGTGGGTTTCCCGGGGGCTGATCTTCACAGGTAGCAGGGTCTCAGAGCTGAGCGGCCCATAAATAAAGCAGGCAGAGACAAGGACAGGCGAATACAAAAGAAACGCCCAGAAGCATGACAGGATGTTCTCTAAGACGAGAAAAGCAAATGTGAGGAAATAAACACTATTACACAGCAACTGGGTGTCAACTGACAGAAACTTTCAGTTACTTAACCACACATACATAAAATCTTCAAAATGTGCGCCTTCGTTCAAAGAAACAAACATGGGTGCTGGTGAACATTGAACGTAGCTCCACAGAAACAAGTTGCTTGGGATGAATACGTGTGCGTGTATTACCAGAAGGAAGGGGTTGCATATCGTGGAAAGAAATTCACTCTATAGTTTCAGGGGAAAAGAAAGACAGGAAGACCTCATTACAATGCGAAGACACGAAACGATGAGGAAAAATGTGCGTGCTCTTCCAAGTGGAAAGTGAGAGGTTCTTGTTTTCTTTTGCTCACCTGTTTTCTTAATGCTTCAGTGGACACGTTTCACTTTTGTAAAAATAATTCCTTAAAAAATTCAAGAAGGACATGAAGTTCCCCAAGGAGATCACAAGGTCTGAGAGCATCTGTTGAGTGGGCAGGACCTGGGGCTGCAGGACAGATGGGGAGGCGCAGCCCAGGCTGCGGCGGAGGGAGCAGGGTGGGGAGTTTGGGCCCATCTCACAGACCTAGGACTTCCAACTCTTCCAGCCTCACCCTCACCTTTCCGCAGACCCTCTGCCCTCCAACACTTTCTCCCAACACACGCTCCACACAGGGATGACTCAACCAGGTCACTGAAGTAAGTGGTGAGACACCAGCAAAATAGCCGGTCGCGGACACTCCTCTGGCCCCCCTTGCCCAGCTTTCAGGCGTGGATGACTGATTTGCCAGAAGTGACCTTGACCAAGCGGACCC